TCCTCGCCGCCCCCCCCCCCCCTCCCCCCCCCCTTGCAGGCTGCCTGGACCCTGCTCCACCCATACGACTCCCCGGGCCCCCCCCCCCCAGCCCCCCCCCCGCCCCCCCCACCTCCTCGTGCGCGTCGCCCAGCGATTTGATGTTGACGGTCTGGATCTCGTTGTGCCGCGCCCAGACCACCTTCCCCCCAGCGTCCATGGAGGCCACAGGTTCGTCGCGGCCCAGCTTGACCATGACGCAGCCCTCGTCGTAGCCGATGGCGATGGAGTTGGAGCCGCGCGTGTAGGCCACCGCCCACACCCGCTCCATGCCGTGGTCCAGGCTGTGCTCCAGGCGGTAGGTGGTGGAGTGCCAGGCCTTGACGCTGCCGTCCTCCGACCCGGTCAGCAGCAGTGGCAGCTCGGGGTGGAAACCCACCGCCGTGATGTTGTGGGCGTGCCCGTCCAGGGTCTGGATGCAGGCCTTGGTCTGGTAGTCCCACACTTTCACCAGGCGGTCGTCGGCGCCGGAGGCCAGGTACGGGCGGTCGCCTGTTGAGGGGGGTGGGGGAGGAGGAAAAGGGCATCAGTTTTTAATATTCTTGGGGGGTGTGGGGGGGGGGGAGACTCGAGGGTCTTAGGCGGCAAAGTCCATGATCCATGCGTTGGCAAGCGCCCCTGCATCATCCACCCCCCCTTCCACACCTCCTGTGTAGTAGTCCACGCAGTTGACGCCCTTCTCGTGGCCCTCCAGCGTGAAGTTGGGCATGTGGCTGCCGATGCCCCACACCTGCTTGGGGAGGAAAGAGGAAAGGGGCTTGGGATCCACAGGCTTTATTGCATGGTTGGCACCGTGACAGGGCCCTTCCGAGGCTTGGCTAGTGCCAACCCCCCCTCCTCAAATGACAGGCAGCTCCCCGGCGACCAGCACCGCCTCCCCATCTATTTCCCCCCAGCGTCCCAGCAGCCACGCGCCTTGACGGTGCGATCTAGGGAGGCGGAGGCAAAGGTGTTGGGGTCCTTGGGGTTGAACACGACGTGCATGACGTAGTGAGAGTGTCCCTCGAAGACCTGTGTATTGACCCAGCCCTTCTCCCAGTCCCACAGCTTGATCAGCATGTCGTCCGAGCAGGTGAGCAGGTAGGGCAGCGTGGGGTGCACCGCCAGGTGCCTGGGGATCAGGGGTGGGGATCGCTTGGATGTCTGGATGGCTGGAGCGAGGAGTATGACAGGGTGGTGTCACCACAGCGCACACAAAGGAAGACCATTGACGAGATACCGACGGTCCAGCTGCCCTTCCCCCCGCTCCCGCACCCATCAACCTGCGACGTCCGCTCACCTGATGTAGTCGGTGTGTGCCTCGAACTGCTTCACCTTGTCCATGGTGTTGTAGTTGTACACCCGGACGTGCATGTCGTCGGCGCCGCAGACCATCCACTGCTTGCGCGGGATGAACTTGGCGGTCCGCACCGGCAGGTCTGTGATCTCAAAGGACTTGACCAGGGCACCCTCCACGTAGTTCCAGATGTACACATTGCCATTGTACAGAGAGGCAAGGATCCTGGAGGTGTGGGAGAGGCGAGGGTTGGGGATCCTCACCCAGCCAATGCCCATGGGTTCCCTTTCTGAGCAACAGCCTGCGACGCATTCTCATGCCCGGCCCAGAGCGGACGCTCACCAGGGCTCGGTGGGGTGGATGTCCACCCCCTTCACCCGCTCCGACCGCTGCGAGAACACATTCTGCAAAGGGGGGAGGGATACATGTCAGCGCAGGGACTCGACACCTTGGCACGGAGCAGTACCCGAGAACCGTGCAACCACCGCGGCGGTGAAGGGACGCGCTGCCCTGCACCAGACTTGCCTTGATGTCCAGTCGCAGAGGCTGTGTACGGGAAGGGGTTGAGCAGGTGAGGAATGGATGTGAGGACCTGTCGGCCATTGCCTGCGGGCACAAGTTGTCTGAGATCACCCTCCCCCAGCCCCTATACTTACCATCGTGTCAGCCTGGCAGCACGCCAATCATCCACCGAGCTCCCCTGTCCACGAGTGGAGGTTTGGGGCGTGAGATGCCTGTGCTCAGGGAGCTGTTTCACCAAGGACGTCCCTCAGCAAGCCTGCTGGGCGACGCGCGATCGAAAGAGCACCAGGGCTCAACGTCCCCCCTTATACCCTGGGAACCTCCTGGTGCCTTCCAGCAATTCAACTCCCCCGCCACACTCCCTCCGATCACATAGCGCCCCTCCTTTACACTTTTGGCTGTCCTTGCTCCCTGTATATTCTTCTCGTGAGCTCAGGAGTGGGTCGTGCGCATTTCCGCCTCCGTCCGTCGCTGAATGTCCGACGCCGTTGTTCTTCCAGCACCGAGTCTCGGCGGGTTTGGTGAGCTTTCCCCTCTGATTTGTACATATGAAGGGCTTCTTGAATGTCGCTAGACACTGTTTGGAAGCGGGGCTTCTCCTCTCCGCCTCACTCCTCCGCCCCCTCCACCCCAGACCCTTTTGCTGATGCTGGCGACAACGACGTTAAGGGAAAGGACGCCAAGGACTACGTGCATGTACGCGTGCAACAGCGCAACGGCAAGAAGTGCCTGACGACCGTGCAGGGCCTCCCAAAGAAGTTTGATCTCGACAAAGTTCTCAAGGCCCTGAAGAAAGGCGAGTGCCGGCATGCGGTTGGGGCGGCGGGTCGATACCTCATACAGGAATGTGAACATGCATCGCGCTGAGGAGGTTGCAGCCCGAACGCGGGGATGCTCCCGGGGTGGACCGGGAACTCGGGCCCAGGCTGGGCCAGGTCCTATGTAGTGAGATTCACTCTTCAACCTGTCCTGCCCGCTCCCCACCTTCCCACATCCTCAGAGTACTGCTGCAACGGCACAGTGGTGGAGGACAAGGAGCTGGGCAAGGTGCTGCAGCTGCAGGGCGACCAGCGCAAGAACGTGTCCGCCTTCCTCATCGGCAACGACCTGACTAAGAAGGACGCCATCAAGGTCCACGGCTTCTGACCGCGCCGGCGCGGTGGAGGGCTGGTTGCACGCCCGGCACGCCACACATGCCGCGGGATGGCACGCGTTCGCCCGTCCGGCGGGCCCCTTTCGTTCCAGAAGCACTCGCTCCTGCATGCCCCGCGTAGTTCGCCCCTCTGTACATTGACTGCGGATACCAGCAGCGGGTGGGGTTGAGGTTGCAAGGCAGGGGTATGGCAGGGGTTACAGGGTACAGGTTCTCAAGGCCAGGAGGGGGCCCCACCGGCTCAGGGCAGGCTGTACAAGGGGGAGCCCTAGGAGGAGAGCAACGTCAATATCACGTGAGAAGGCGAGGCAAGGGGCCCGCCGGCGTAGCGTGCCTCACTCCTCCGTGCTCTTCTGCGCGATGCGACGGACGCGCTTGTTGTAGTCCGCCAAGTGGTGAGTGAGCAGCTGCGCGGCCTCCGGGTTGGCGGGGGACTGGGGGTTGGGGTCAGTGAGCAGCGACTGCACGGAGGTCAGGATGGAGCAGACGCTGTGGCACGGCGACCACTGGTCCTGGATGATATCCATGCACAGCGTCCCGTCCGCCTGAGCAGAGAAGGGGGAAGAGGGGGCGGTGAGGGGCCAGAGCAGGGGCACAGCATCGACAGGGCCGTGGCGCCGCAGGGAGGATGCCCGCTCCCATCACACAGGCCACAGGGAGCATCCCCTTCCTTGGGACAGCATTACGTGCGCTACGTACATAGACGTTTGGGTGGTAGATCTCTGAGGTGAAGCGTACACGGGGTGGGAGGTCGGGGTACCTGTCCCCAAATGTGAGCCGGAGCTGGAATACGCCGCCCTCCCTGCAGGCATCATGGCTCAGGGCGGTGTTGATCTCCCACACGGAGGACGTGAGGTGGGCCAGGCCATGGCATCCATGCACAATACCTACCAGGGGGTATCGGCTGGCCCCAAGATGGTGGCGCTCTGTGGGTGTGGGGGAGAGGTGGGGAGGTGCATGTAACCGGTGCAGCCACAGGGCATGGCGTCGGGAGGCCAACGGGTCCGACCGACTCACCCACACGTAAAGGTTATCTTCTGCGATGGGCGAAGCGCTGCAGCCGTCCGGAGGCTCGCGTGAGATAGCCTTGAGATCGGAGAGCAAGCGCAGGCTTGCGGCAGAGTTCATGAGTTTGGCCCAGCAACAGGAGAGCGCAGCGACTACTGTATTCCTCGCCACAAGGAGTGCGGCGACCACGAAGACCCGGTGGAGACGTTGATGATAATCGGACCATCGACCGTCTGTGCGTCATTGTAAAGCGGAACCTTCTTGTCGGTATCGGCCCATGGACCTACGTGGACCGTCCCGCGTTTATCATGCCTCAGCAACTCTGCGCACGAGAAGGGTGAGGGGGGCTGCGGGGCAGATGATGGCGTGGACGAAAACGAGTTGAAGATACTGAAACAATCCAAGAACCTAGGATGGGGTCCACGGGAGGTGGGTGATGTGGTCGGGGCGGCGACCTGGCTGCCGGCGTGTACAGGGCGCCCGGAGTCTCAACCTTTCAACCCTTCGTCCCGTTTAGGTTGCAAGACCGGTAACTTCAACGGGCGCATGGACAGCTGGCAGAAGAGGAGCAAGACTAAAGCGAGAGTCGCGAAGAAGCAGGCTGGCACGTTGCAGGTGTGCGCCGCAAGTTGGGGTCGGGTGGCGGTGGTGCCTGTCACTGACTCGAGGATGGCCGGGGCCCTGCGCTTCACTCAACGAGTTACATTCCGTGTATCCAACTCCAGGCGCACAAGGCCCGTGTGAAGCGCCAGAGCGGTGTGCGTACTAAGAAGCACCAGAAGCGCGTGGAGCACGCCAAGAAGATGGCCGCCAAGGCCGTGGAGGAGCCTGCTGACGCCATGCAGGAGTAGGGCAGGTGTCTGTTTCCTGAGAGTAGGTAGTCGCCAGGACGGCCCCGCTGGCGGTCGGGCGTGCAAGGCCCTGCTGGTAACAAAGTCGTGGTGTGCCCCCAGGCGCAGCGGCCAACGCGCAGGCACCCACCGACCCTGCGGCCCGCCCCCGGGGCCTGCCCATAGACATGGCACATGGACCTGCAGCGGGTCCCGGCACGCCCTCGCCGGCTCACGAAAACATGCTGCCCAGCCCCCAGGCCGTGGCCGGGGCCGCGCTGGACTGCTTCGCAGCGCTGCCCAGGACCGGGAAGCCCCAGGCGCACGAGCACACGGTGCTGGCGGCGATCGTGCTTTCCACCCCTACCCCCCATTGCCCCCCCACACTCTGCGTCGCGGCCCTGGCCACCGGCACCAAGTGCCTGGGGGCGTCGGCCCGCGACCCCGGCGGCGCGGCCCTGAACGACTGCCACGCGGAGGTGCTGGCGCGCCGCGCCTTCCTCCTGTTCCTGCATGCCCACGCCCGGGACCTGGGCTCGCAGGGCGCTGTAAACCCGCTGTGTCGCGATGAGGAGGGGGGAGGAGGGTGCGGCGCTCCCCGCCTCCGCCTGCGGCCGGGGGTGGGGGTACACCTGTACGTCAGCCAGCCGCCGTGCGGGGACGCCTGCGTGCACGACGCCGACGGACGGGAGGCGGCGCATGGCAGCGCTGGCGGGACCCTGGGCGAGGCCAGGTCACAGGAGAATGCTGCTTCTGCCTCGGATGACCGCGAGGTCTTAGGGAAAACTGGGTGTACCCTGAATGACAAGCACAAGCAGGACGACCCGTCGCCCACCCGTACTCTGCCCCGCACCGGCGCCAAGCTCCTGGGACTGGAGTCCCAGGAACAGGCCCTGGGCGCCGCCCCGGCCACCATCCCCGAGCCTCACACCCGCGCACAGGCCTCCGGGCACCTGCGCCGCAAGCCCGGGCGCGGGGAGGGCACGCTGAGCATGTCGTGTAGCGACAAGCTGGCGCGCTGGCGCCTGCTGGGCCTGCAGGGCGGCCTCTGGTCGCGCCTGCTGGCGGCGCCCCTGGCCCTGGAGTCGGTCACGGTGCACGCGCCGCGCGGCGCCGACGCCGACGCCACGCTGCGCGCGCTGCAGCGCGCCGTGGTGGACC